GGAGAGAATCAGGCACTTCCAGGAGACAACACACAACTCATCCTAAGGGAAATGGTAAAAATAGCTTTGATGAATCACATTCCAGAGAGCAGAGCCAGGAATGACCATCTCAAATAGTTAAATTTGTATTTAGATATCTGATTTCCAGGTAATTGAACTCACTAATGTTGGCATCCTGTGCCCCAGAGAAACACACACAAAAGCCTGGAAATATCTTGTGTGAAGTTTGCATTGCATCAATGACTGAACAAAAAAATGGAGGAAAAAAAGCCTTTTTGTAATAGCACAGTGTGGATTCATCACATCTAAATTTAATCCATGTACACACCAAACCCAAACAATGCCAGGGCTGCAGTTGTTCACACAATATTGGATCATCTGCCCTGATGCTGTAGAAAAGCCAAAATTATTCTTTTTTTGCTTTTCCAAATAGAAAACCAAAGCACAAAGAATTTTATCACTTTTCCACATTGCTATAGTGCAACTATAGCACATCCCAATGTCAGAAATGGGCAGATAATCGATTCATTGCTTATGTCTAGGTACAAACATATTATTCATAATTACTACAGAGACATTTTCATTTGTCTTAATTTGTGTGGCATAATGGAAATGATGTGCTGGATTTACCAGTGAAAAGGGCAAGGAAAAGATTAAACCCAAGTTGTGCTAAGATTTGGAAAGAACTTGGTGCTCCTTATCTATCCACCCTCTCCACAATGTCCACCACTTTTCCCAGATAGAATTTGGGGTCAAAAACCTTAGAAGACTTCAGAAATCATAAAATCATAGAACGATCTTGGCTGGATAGGACCTTGGACCAGGTTGCTCCAAGCCCCATCCAACCTGGTCTGGAACACTTCCAGGGATGGGACGGCCACAGCTTCTCTGGGCAACTTGTGCCAGTGCCTCACCACCCTCACAGGGAAGAATATCCAGTCTATATCTACTCTCTTTCAGTGTGAATCGATTCCCCCCTGTCCTGTCACTCCAGCCTCTTGTAAATAGTCTCTCTCCATCTTTCTTGCAGGCTCCCTTCAGGTACCAAACGGCTGCAATTAGATCACCCCAGAGCCTTCTCTTCTCCAGGCTGAAAAATCCCAATTGTCTCAGCCTTTCCTCATAGCAGAGGTGCTCCAGCCCTCTCATCCACTTGGTGGCCTCCTCTGGACTCTGGGCTCATTCTAACAGGTCTTATGCCCAACTGGGGTCTTCATTGTCCATACTTCCATGCAAACAGCTGCCACTATCCAGCTGAGGGACTGCATGTGACAGTGGTATCCCAGACCAACCATTAAACACAGAGCAAAAACCCTTTGTCTTAGTTTGTCCATCAAAGCTGAATTAACATCAGCATAATTCCTCAGCTTACCTCTCTGGGCTAGTAGCAGCAAAGCTACTCCATCCTGCCCAATATGTAGTATGAGGTGTGTCTGTCTTTGCTTTGTGTGGCAGGGCTTGGGTTTTGGAACAGTTGCACAAGGAGGAAATGTGATGTGTTGGCGACTGTGCTTATAGTTCAGCTTTCCAGTCACAGAGAAATAAAAATAGGTTAGTGGGTTTGCAGAAATTGGAGGATCCTGCAATCCTCACCAGGGTGATGTGTGGGCAGATGATTCCTCTCTGGGCAGGCTCTGTGGCCAAGGCTTTTCCACCCTTCCCTGTTATCCTGTGAACAGTGCTCAGAGTTAATCCTTCTCATCCAGAAGGGTCTCTGATGATCCAATGACCCAGAAGATGGGGAAGTCACCACTTACCTCACGTAGCTCTTCTCTTTTGACACTTGAATCTGCATTGCTTTATTATGTCTGATACTAAACAGCCCCACTGAATCTCTAGGAGCTTCCCTTGATGGCAATGGTTTCCTCTTTTGAAGGATTTCACTAGTCCCTTTTCCCCAGAAGATGGCATTTATTGCCTGCTCTTGGTGACCCTCTACCTAGAGCCCTGCTTCTCAAGAAATTATGTGCAGGTCTCCTGCATTTACCCAGATACTGACTTCATTTTGGCTTTATTGACACACATTTTGGCACTACAGGGCCAAGTGGACCAGATCACTGTGTGACTCACCACATCTTTGGTGCTGTCTTTGTGTTGTCTCTATGTTATGTCAGCTGCAATTTTACACTAATTTCCACATCATTGAGGAAAATGTTGAAGAGCATCAAGGCCTTGTAGCAACCTCTGTGCTCCAAATCTCCACAAGCAATCACAGATTTCAAACCTGCCAGGCCACCCTGCTAGTATCTGCTGATGGAAACCTATTGGGCTCTTGTATCATTGATTAGCATCTCCTTTTGCTGAGAGCACAGAAATAACTGGAGATTGTCAGGCAGGGGAAACAGAGCATCCAGAGTTTAACATCTCTTAGTGACAGGTCCAACCCATTCCTAGGATTCCTCCATTCCCATTGCAGCACTTTGCTATCTTCATGTATTTTTCCTTGCAGCATTCAGCTTCTGTCATCCATTTCCTCTCCTCCTTTGTGCATCATGGAAGATAAAGGATTTCCTTTTTTGCCCTTGGGTTTTAGTGTTTCTAAATGTGGACACCAAAGAGAGAAGGTTTTGATTGTTGGCAGCTCTTCTATGTGCTACAAACCAAAACATTTTGGATATCTCACTGGCTCTTGCTGGAAAGCTCCAAGATACCAACCACATTTTCTTAGGCTGAATTCTCCCTCTTGGTTTGTCTCGTCTATGTTGTTCCTCTATGCAGAGAAAAGACACATCTTGAAAAATTCACAACAAGCAAAAAAGGCAAATTGTTTGAAGTCAGAAGGATGAATGTGGTGTTGTTAATGTGCTCAAAAATATATGAGTTGCAATTTATGACTGAGTTCTTCAATCACTAATAAGATGTGGTTTGGATTTCACTTTAATGTAAGCCAAGAGTGCATCTGTGCAGACAGAACTTCCTTTTGAGAAGAACTGATCAGCTCTTGAGGTGTTTTCATAGGGAGATCTGGTCAACCATGGGGGTGCAGGTCTTTCAGGAACACCAGGAGCCAGAACACAGCCTGGTCTCTTTGGAAAAACCATCCTGCCACATTTAATCATGACAAGCAAACACAGGACAAGGGGGTGCCAGCTGGTGCCATCTCCAGTGCTTTTAAGAAGCTCAGTAAACAGTGCACTTGGAAATTAAGCTTTGCCTTAGGCAGTATTTTAAACAGGCAATGGCCCTACTCATGCCACAAATCATGTATCCATTTGGAAACTTGAAATGATTATTAGAATGCTCTAAATCACAAGATATTCCCTTGTAGGGTTTGGCTTTTTCATCCCTCTTCCAATTTTGCAGCCAAGATTTCTTTTCTGCAAAGGTGTAGATTAGAAACAGAGAGAACAACATTATTACAAGTAACAAATATAACAGAATTAAGCCTAACAAGATTGTCATGCAGTGGAAATGATTATCAATATGAAATCACAGAAGATTCTCCAAAGTCAGTTACTGATCAGCTGGCTGATCATCTGCTACTTGGCAACATACTGGGTCTAGTAATGATCTCCATCCAGTGTGGTCTTAGCTGGGATGTAAGTTCCTGGTACAGCCAGGTACCTCCTAAAGAGCCTCTCTGTCCCCAAAGACTTACACAGAAAGGGTTATAAATGCAAGAAGAGTTCACTAAATATAGCAGAAAGAAATTTTCATAACTCACAGACGCTGCAAAAAAGGCAGTAGTTCAGAAGCACATCCTCAATTGACCTGATCTTATTGCCAGATAAATCCCTGTTGCAATTAGAACATAAAATATTAATTACATTTGCACTGTCATGTTTACTTTCATTTGCTTTGACACTGTATATGTTACACAGCCCTGAGTTCACATGGTGCTTCTCTCTGACTTGAGCTTGTGTGTAACCTGTGATAACCCTCCTTCCATCTCCAGGAATTTTGTCCTGACTCTGATCCCACCAGAATTATTTTAGAGCATGCCTGGGTTTTGCCTTGCTCTAGGTGGTCCCCACCCTCAAAATGTTGGTCCTCTGATGAACAGTCACTGTCAGCTTGGGTGTGAAAGGGCCTTTTTACTGCATCCCATGGATGCCAGTTCATCCCATCACTTCCCTTGGGAAATACTGCATCTTCCCACTTGGATTTATCTAAAGTCACCATCCAGCCATTGGACTTTGCTTTACCTTCATGGTTTAAAAGCTCAGTCAGCATCAGGTGGTTTTTCCTGCAGCCAATCACCCCATTCCTCTCTTTTTTAGTTAGTCAGGCAACATTCTCATTTCAAGAGGGATCTCTCATCATCCCTGTGAGAGATCCCAGCTTCCCTAAGCTCTCCCGATTTTCAATCACCTTCTTTTTTCTCCCAAAGAGAGGCCAAAAAAATTGGCAGGGGGTTGATATCCAATAAGCATCTCTCCAATCCCTTGTCCCCAGCCTCATTTCGTAAGCTTGATGCCCCTTCCACTGCTTGTGCTGCCTCGGAGCAGCTTCGCCACACCAGGCTGCAAACTTTTACTTAATTTAATGAAAAACATGTTTGAAAATACAAAGAATCTTTATTTTACATGATGATAACATCCCATCTACTTAGAGCCGGAGTCCAAGATGTGATTCAACACATTACAAGACTTAGGCTGATTTCTTTTAGACAAATTTCACTTAGAGAAATACTTTGTCCTGTGCAAAGCTGTGTCAGTCCCACAGCTACTCCTGCTGGTAAAACATCTTCAATCTCAGGCTTTCTTCCATGGATCAGAGCAAACCCGAGCTCCACATGGGCTCCTGCAAGGAGGGCTCATTCCTTTGGTTGTTCTGGAAGTGTTGCACACACATCTGCCCTTTTGTCTAAATAATACTCATGCAGCTAAGATGGCTTCCAGATAAGGCTGACCTGAATAAGTTGACAGGAACACACTTCCCCTTCCAAACCAATATATATTTTGGGGCTTAGTTTTAGTAACAGTCAGTTTATTGCCCATTTCTTTCGCTGTTAGGTATCTGGAGGAAAAGCAAACACTGGATGTGAGGCACACGGTGCCTCACGGAATGTCATCAAAACTGAGGTCAGACAGAACTTCTTCTTCGAGGTCAAACTGTTCCAAGGATAATTCATTGACCTGGAAAGAGAAATCAAGAGTAAATTTCCTTTCTCTACAACATATGTTTCTCTACAACATATATGGGAGAAGAAAAGGCTTCACGGGTACTCATAAAAAGGGGGGAGAGGGATATTTATAGGGGCAGATAGCGACAGGACAAGGGAGAATGGTTTTAAATCAGAAGAGGAGAGATTTAGATGGAATGTTGAGAAGAAATTGTTCCCTGTGAGGGTAGTGAGGCACTGGCACAGGTTGCCCAGAGAATCTGTGGCTGCTCCATCCCTGGAAGTGTTCAGGCCAGGCTGGATGGGGCTTGGAGCAACCTGGGCTAGTGGAAGGTGTCCCTGCCCTTGGCAGGAAGGTTGGGACTAGATGATCTTTAAGGCCTTTCCAACCCAAACCAGTCTGTGATTCTATATTTTAGCTTCACCCCTCTGCACCTGGAAACTACATTTTTACCATGTGCAAGAGTTTGCCACTTGGGAACATTTCTGCTTTGGAAAGACTGATATCACAAGGCAACAAACCAGAAGGACATCCAGCAGCTTTCCTCCCAGGCAAGTCCTTCTGAATTTAGACACTGGAATGTGCTGCCCAAGGAGGTGGTAGAGTCACCATCCCTGGAGATGTTTAAAGAAAGACTGGACATGGTACTTAGTGCCATGGTCTAGTTGACATGGTTGTGTTAGATCATAGGTTGGACTTGATCTCAGAGATCTTTTCCAACTTTAATGATTCAGCCTTAATGACACACCTCTCTGTGTCCTCATTTCAGGTCTCTAATAACAAAGGAGCAGGACCCAGGCACATACCTGAGTATATGATAACAGATGCAACTACCACCTGCAGGGATTTACCAAAGCTTTTAGCAATCATTCCCTCTAGGTAAGGGGAAGTTTATGAAGTGCATTTTCAGATGAGGAGTTTGATTTATTTAGGAATTTATTATAAAATAACTTGATCTAACCTACTGTGGCTTAATCAGGCTTTTCTTTCTCACCGATTCCACAAAGAGCAGCCCTGGATGCTGTCATATGTCAGACCTGTCAGGCTGCACCACAACAGCTCTGTACTCCTTGATTTCCTGTCCCATCTAAAACATATATGTATTTCTGCACAAAGGTAACAAAAAAACTAGGAGTTGTAAAACCTTAGTGTGCTGTAATTACTTCCTAGGATTTAAGTGGAGGTAATGGCTGCACACAAGGAGGTTGTCAGAGACTGTCACAGCTAATGGTTGTATCACTAATCCCTGGGTGTAACACACAGACATGGAAAAACTCAATATCCACCACTTTTACCTGAACAAGCCCCTTCAGCTCCTCTTCTGCTAAGGAGTCCGTGGGCTCCTCCAGGGAGGAATTGTACTCCACAGCCACTTTCCCATTTTCTGAAACAGAACAAACAGCCAGAGACATGGTTAGTTACTACTGTGTTATGACAATAAATCTACCCTAAACTTCAAAAATGAGACAATTTTGCTTCAATAATGGCCAGGACAGGACCATGCACAGTGCTGCAGTTCAGCTCCTGTTACCCCTGGAAGCAGAGCTTCCTCATATCCCTGTTTAGCATAGTGTTGAAAAGATCTCCCTGTCACCATTTGCTCTTGGAACATAAAGTTTCAATGCCTTATTTATCATAACAATATCTGCCTTCCTGTCAGATTTTCCTTTCACTCCTGCAGCTCATAGGGAGGAACCACTCAGTTAAATCACTACAGACCACAATGGTCCACTTCCTCAAGCCTCAAGAAAGCTTCAGAGGAAAAAGAATTCCCATCAATGATCATGGAAATTCTAATATTAGCCCAAATATTTCACCCCAGTGTTTGACACAAAGCCAGGCCTTACCCAAGACCACAAGGAGGATCTTCTGAAAGGCCCCAGACAGAGCTTTCCCAACTGCGAGTTTCTGAGCTCTCTTCATGGCCGTGAGGAACTCCAGCGGATCTGAACAGAAGCAGCACCATGTTACTGACCTTGAGATGACACTGCACATGAAGCACACAGGAAACGTAACCAAACACAGCTGGAGGGATGCCAGAGGAAACCTGTGGAGGAATCTATCTGGTGCAGGGAACTCGGTTTGCAAACTGCAGACTGAGCTCTGGGTGTGACATGAGGCCACGAACTCTCAACCCTTTGCATAACAAAGGGTATGAAGAACCGTGGGGCCAGACACATGGATGGACAAGGGGAAAGAAAGCTGGAGTTGACAACTCAGGAGGAAGAGAAAGACTTGGTGCACTTAGGCTGTGAGGGGATAAACACCCCAGAGTTCCTTGCCTCCTTGGAGGCACCAGCTCAGCTGTTTGTGCTACTGTGTGGCAAATGCTTTATGGAACAAGTCATCAGAGACTCTGCTATGGGAAACCTGTGTGACTATGTGAGTGTGGGGTGTGTGGGGAGTCAAGTGGAGCACCAGTGAAGGGTCCCAGCAGTGAAAGTCTCTGGTGGTGGGAGTGACAGCCAGAGTAGCTCCTAGATGGTCACACAGGGAAGTTTCCTTAACAGCAGCAGCCTCCCCGGGGCTTTGTATGGCCTGTATCAGTGCCAAAGACACACTCACATGGCATCTTCACAGCTCAAGTGGCTGTGATGGGGAATGAATAATGCTGAGGGCAAGAGGGAGAGAACAAGAGAAAGTGATACTTGTGTGAAGCAGGGAGGGGAGAGGCATGTTCAGGATCCCTCCCTGCACAGCACAAGGCCCTGCACAGATCCTTGTCTCCAGATAAATCCAGATACCTTATCTGACCCATGAACTGAGCAAACCCAAGACTGACCAGTATCTGCAACAGCTGCTGAACGAGACCTCCACTGCCTCCAAAACATACCTTCACCATTTCCTACATCTGCCTCACCCAGGGCAACTCCCCTGGTGCAGATCCTGTGGTTGGGCAGTGTCACTTCCAGAGTACACAGGAATTTCACAGACTGATGCTGTATGGTCTTTCCCAGTTCCTCATTCTCACCGTCCAAGCCAGACACATTCTGCAACTGTTGGGAAGAGCACAGGGAATTATTTTTGATGAAACAGGAAAGGGTATAGGGGTTGATTAAAGAGGAAAGGGTATTGGGTTTGATTACAGAGGAAGGGGATAGGTTTGATTAAAGAGGAAGAGGATAGGTAGGGTTATGCCCACTTAGGCCTATGCCACAGACCTTCTCTGCACAGCCTGTGACTCCAACACAGAAGGAGGTGGTGGAGACAGACAGGGATATTCACTGTTTTTACTCTGTTTTAGAAATAGCTCACAGTCCTCATCCTCTGGGAGTCTCAGCCATCTCACTTTCAGCACGTGAAGACCACTGTCAGGCCCTGCACTGCTTTGATCACAGCTCACCTCCAGTTTTACTGAAAAGCCAAATCAGTGCCTTCACCCACTGCAATCTGCTCCCCCAGGCTCACAAAATGCCCCCATTCATAGGCCAAAACACAGCTCCTACAGCTATTATTTGCTGTTTGGAGGACAATTCTTATTCCACCAGCCACTCTAATGAAGAGGAGGATGAGGGGAAGGACGATGGATGAACACAAAGGGCTCCTTACCGTGATGATGCGACTGGACCAGCCATTAAAGCCAAGGTAGTGGTTGGCCAATTCCTGGCACTTGCTGCTGCTGAGAGCAGGGAGTTGTTGCTGAAACCCTTTCTGCTTGTTGCAAATACAAACCTGTCCAGGAGAAAAGAACCCTGCTTAGCTAGGCCCTGCTTGTGAGGCTCCCACTTCAGCCACACCACCGACAGCTCCAGGACATTCATCCCAGTGTGACCTATTCCCGGACCATGTGTGTGTTCCTGAGGTGTGTTAAATATCACTTTGGTGCTTTATCCAGGAACACGCCTGTAAATTATTCCAGAGGGAGGATGCTGCTATTTTACTGCTTAAATGCTCCCCAGCAGCCAGCAGTGAGGGATGTCAACACAGCAGCACCACTGAGATCAGTATTAAACATGATTCTACCCTGCTGTGGAGGACACAGTGCTGGGTCCTGCATGTTTCCCACCCAGGGCTGTTCTCTTACCTTCAAGGGAGACTTCTGAAACAAATTTTGCCCGTTGCAGGCACGCTGGGCTCTGCTGGCATCTCCAGCTGAGTAAAACTTGATGATGGCATAGTACCCTGGCCCTGCCACGGCAGCATTCTGGTGTGCTCGCACAGAGTACAGCAGCCCAAATTTGGAAAATGCCAAAAACAGGGAATGCTGAGGAAAAACAAGAGGAATAAAAGGGGGTTTTGTAATATCTAGGGGTGCTCCAGAGCAACTGTGACAGAGCGAGGATCCCTCACATGACTGTAGGAACCGCAGTGACAGGACAAGGAGTAAAATTGAAAGAGGAGAAATTTAGATTAGATAGTAGGAAGAAAGTCTTTCCTGTGAGGGTGGTGAGACACTGGCACAGATTGCCCAGGGAGGTAGTGGATGCCCCAACCCTGGCAGTGTTCAAAGCCAGGTTGGATCAAGCCTTGAGCAACCTGCTCTGGTGGGAGATGTCCCTGCCCAGGGCAGGGGGTTGGGACTAGATGATCTCTAAGGTTCATTCCAACCCCTTAACATTCTATGATTCTAAGACTTAATTACCCAGAAAACGAGGGAAGATTTAAGCAACTTTGGCAATGTTTAATGGCAATAAGCCCGGGAATAAACAGTGAGACTGAAGGTGAGTATATCACCCCAAAAATAAGCTGGCTGGACCTCTGACCTGACAACCTCTCATCTCCTTTATCATCCAGCCTCTGCTTGTGGAGGAGAGCAAGGACAGAGATGGGATTTCATCACCATCCCAGCCTGCCTCCTGCTCCCTACCATCCTCCACACGGTTTCACCCTTCAGTGAAACACAGGCACAGTGTTTTGCAGGCAAGCTAACTGGGTTTGTTTCCAGCTCTTCCAGCTTGCACTGAGCTCTGGGCAGCTCTGCTGTGCAGACCCTGAACCAGCCACGGGTAAGGGGCAGAAATTATCCCCCTGCGGCTGTCCTGCACCTCAGGGAGACAAAGACTAAAAAAATTATTAGAAACAGAAACACAAAAAAAAGGAAAAATGAAAGGATTTCAAAACAAGTCATTAGCACAGTAGTAGCACATTAGTACGTTAGTAATGCCATCAGTAATGATGTGGAAAACTGGGGCACTAGGTCCAGGAGGAGAAGAGGGAAAAGAGGGACCCCAGAGAGGGGAAAGAAGGATCCAGTGAGGAGGGACCCCAGGTGGAAAGAGGGACCCCAGGATAGGGGAAGAGCAACCTCAGGGATGGGGAAAGAGGGAACCCAGAGGCGAAGAGGGAACCCAGGGGAGAAAAAGGGAACCCGGAGGAGAATAGAGGGAACCCAGGGAGAGGGGAGAAGGGAACCCAAATAGCAAAGAGGGAACTCAGGGGGGAAAGAGGGACCCCGGAATGGGGGAAGAGGGACCCTAGGGGAGAAAGAGGCAATCCAGGGCGGTAAAGAGGCACCCAGGGAGGGGGGAAGAGGAAACCCAGGTGGCAAAAAGGGAACTCAGGGGGGAAAGGGGCACCCCGGGATGGGGGAAGAGGGACCCCAGGGAAGGGGGACCCCAAGAGGGGAAAGACAGACCTCAGAGAAGAAAGAAGGAAGCCAGGGAGGTAAGAGGGACCCTGGGATAGGGGAAGAAGGACCCCAGGGGTGGGGGAAGAGGGACCCCAGGGTTCCCAAGCTTCACCCCTTATCCCTGGTGGGGCCCCAGCTCCCTCTTCCCAGGCACGGGGGGTCCTGGGCCCAGGC